AAAATATAAAAAAAAAATATGTTGAAGTGAGAATATATAAATTATTTTTTGAAAAAAAAAAACCTTAAATTTGTACAGAACTTGGCTTCGACCTGTCGGCCCAAACTTAAAAACGACAAAGTGGGCCTTCAGAAGTGACAGAAATGAAATTATGGTGGTGGAGAGCTTGCCATATCCATGGGCCATGGCTCTTGTGAGCATCCGTCGTGGTGGTCCCAAAAGTCATAAAAATCATTATTACTGTTAAGCGAGCTCGAATCCAACCTCATAAGGCCCATCTACCTTTTTTTTACTGGTACTACAGTATTTGTTTGAGATGATTGTGATAATTAATAATAATAATATAGTTATTAAAATTATAAAATATTATTTTTAAAAATATTAATTTTATTTAATTCAATAAATAAAAATAATTAATAATTACATTTCATAATTAATAATTAATAAAATAATTAATATTTATTAGTTAATAAGTTAAATTTAGTTAAAAATAAGTATTTTCAAAAGATTGTTTAAGAAAAAAACTGAAATTTTGATAGTTTTAACTATATTGGTGGTGGCAATGGCAATAACCACACGGCTGTTTAACTCAATTTTTTGGTACGAGACATTTACTTTTGGATAATTGTGTAAAATTAAAAAGTTCTTATAGTAAACTATATTAGACATGTATTTGCCATCCCAACCAAGAAAAAAAATTGTCAATTAGGGTTTGGATTTTGAAATTTCATTTCTGCCCTTGATGAATCGAGCGTCAACATTTCATCAGATGCATAAAATAACATTTTCAGCTCGAATTAGTAATTTTATTGCCAGCCCGACTGAATATCTTCAATCTCAAACTGTTTTATTGCTAGTAAATTTTTAATAAGAAAGTATTATATAATATAAATTGTATTAAATTATATAATTTAAATTATTAAATAAATTCGATAATTTTTATTTTATATTTGTAAAATTCAAATTACAAATAAAAACTAGGTTTGTCACTACACAATTTGTTAAATTTATTAAAAATGTAAATCATTTTTTGTTGTAATTACCATTTTACTTCTTTCTTCGATCTCTTTGTGATATTTTATACATTAATTAAAAAAATAAAATAATAATTAAAACAAAAAAAAATTACACTTTTTATGACCCTAACAAATTGCATGTGACAATAACTGCCCTCAAATTTTATAGTAAGATAATGATATATACATCCTGCACAATTACATATCTTATTGCATATTGACGGAAATCGTTAGTTTTAACTACATAAGTAATGAAAATTATCAATTTTACTTAATACGAGTAATGAAAATCATCAACTTTATCAACATAAATAACAGAAACTGTTAGTATATAACAAAATGTGTAACTTTACAGGGTGTACTAACAATTTTCTTTTACATTACATTTGATTTACTTAGAGCATATTTGGTTCAGCTTCCAAGTACTTTAATTTTTTAACACTATTCATGTTTTATAAGTTTAAATTTTTCTCTTAACAACTTACATTTTTAATTTTTTTTTTTAACTTTAAAAATATCCTAAACAGTAAAAACTCAAAATCTTCAAATCCAAACTTTTCATGAACACCTTTTTTACTCATTTTCTTTTATCTTTAAAAGCAACTTTAAAAAAAAATTTAATAAAAATTTTAATTTATCATTCATGAATAATCCCAAAAAAATAAAAACTCTTACAAGTTAACCCCAACTTTCTCTTAGCAGGATTTGTCCTATGCATAATATATCAATCACCCCTCGCCTAACAGTCAAACGCACACATCAACAAGTTTTTGAAAGGAGGGGGGAGCGGAGGAGTAAAATTGCAAGATCCAAGACACACCGCTCACATGTAACCACGTGACTCATGCACCTACTTAATTTGTATGTTTGCTGCTGCAAAGTGCAAACAAACCCTTTATCCGAGTACTTTTACTTTTATAATATTTGTAAACCTCTTCAAACTCAACAAAGCTGCCCGCGCGTGAATTTGTAAACGAAAGGTCTTTTATCTTATGCGCTTGGTTTATACTCTAACGCTATTTAGGTTCGTTTGGTGCACTTATTAAATATTTCAATTTTTTGATATTATTTATATTTTATAAGTTTAAATTTTTTTAAATAAAGTTTATATTTTTGCTTATTTTTCACTCTTTTTTTTATCTCTAAAAATAATTTTTAAACTTTTCATAAAATTTTTTTTACTTATTTTTCACTATTTTTTTTATCTCTAAAATTAATTTTTAAATTTTTTTTAATAAAAATTTAAATTTACTACTTATAACACCGTTAAAAAAATAAAAACTCTCACAAACCAAACCAAACATACTGTTAATCATTTTACTACTCTTCAGCTTTTGATTTTCAAGAAAAGATGCAATGTGGGGGGGCACATGTGATGACACTACAGACAAAGTGCATTCAGTGCAACCATTTTGCATACAAGATAGTGGGGTTAAAGCCAACTATAGTCCCTTCACTTTTAATTTTTGTTCATTATCCTCTCTATACTTACAAATCTTTCAAAGTCTTCCTTCTACTTTTTCAAACCATAATATAGTCCTGCTTCTACTTTAACTTTCCATTGCATTTACCTCCCTCCGCTAACACCACCCTAACACCGTTTATGACTCCCATTTAACAGTGGCAACTTTGACAGTTAGTGCAATAGTTTTTTTTTTTTTTTTTAATGAATTGTGTTTTTGGGCACAAATTA